GCCCCCTCCAAAGTTCCTTGCTGAACATTGAATCATATTGAATCGCCTGCATTGTGTTGGTGGAGATAGAATTTGCTCAAGCCCTGAGCGCCAACTGAGAATATCACAAAGCACAGTAGTCTGTCGATGAAAATCCCGACAGAGTTGTGATATGGAATCCGGCACCGAATTGGCGATTCATGTCAAGAAGTCCTGACAGGCTGGGTGCCTGAGGTCAAAAAAAAGGGTCCTGGTGGCCTTACTTCTCCTGTGTCTTGAAGCTGTAAGAGCTTTCAGCAACACCAGTTTCGACCCAATGGCACATGTCATGTCATTGAGGCATGTCGCATCGCATTCACTGAGGCTTCAATCCGTGAGGGTCTGTGCTGGGGGCCAAGACATTGGCTGTATTTTGCATCAGACTGGCCATGGGGTTCCTCAGAATTTAAGCTGTCAGTGAATGTGCTGTGAGAGCACAGTCTTTGTTTGAGGGGCAGTTTTTTTCACTCAAGATGCCCAAACGTCGCTGCCGTGTTTTGCAGAAAGATGTTCTGTCCGTAGCTTCAGATTGCACTGGTCTGAATGCAGCTGCTATGGCCTTGGAATCGTTGAATCTTCCATTTCAGGAGGAATGGGTGAGTGATTCCGATGTGGCAGTCAGGAGCGTGCTTCAACGCAACTTTGTGCCCAATCACCTCCCTGTTGTTTTTTTTCAGCAGGCTACCCGTGCCAACCGTACTCTGTGCTGGGCACGGGTGATGGCTTGGAAAGTGAGGACGGAAAAGTATTGCTCTATGTTCTCCAGCGCATCCGGCTGACACGACCACGAACCTTCTTGTTGGAGAATGTCGAAAATTTTCAGAAGTTCAAGAAGGCGTATGAATTGGTCAGAGATGTGCTCAAGGCTTTGAAGGACCTTGCTTTGGTTTGTGAAATCTCATGGGTTTCAGGTTTTCAACACGACCATGTGTTGAATTTGGATTTGCAGTGTTGCAGGGGAAAAGAACCTTGTGCTCTCGGTAGGACATTGGTGGCAAACCATACTACAAGCTGCAGGCAAGAGTTCTGAACTCGAAGGACCATGGAGTAGCCCAATCCCGAGGTCGTTTGTACATTGTTGGTGTGCATGATCCTGTCCGGGACTTCAGATGGCCGGAACCGCAGGCCCCTGTGTCCCTTGAATCTGCTTTGGACCCTCAGGATGGCAGCGGACCAGTATGGCCTCACAGCAAGACCGAAATTCGCAACCTCATCACCTGCTACAAGAAGTTGCAAGACAAGAGGCAACCCATGAGATGTGATGGTATTGCAGACATCGGCATGAGCTCCAATTGGTGCCAAAGTTCAACCCCTTTCAGCATTGGTTATGCTCCTTGTCTGACGAAGAGTAGGTGCGAAAGCAATGGATATTGGTCATTCAGCCGGCAGCGAAAATTGCATTTGAGTGAATATTTTCGATTGCAAGGGATTTACCCTGGGAGACTTCAGCGCCCGGGGGATGTCACAGAGGCAAAGATGCGTGCCATGGTGGGGAACTCCTTCACTGTTCCAGTGATTGCAAAAATCATGGACCGTTTGTTTTACAGTGCAGGGCTCACAAGTCAGCCTATAGCCTTCGATGCAAGCACTGGTGATGATGGTGTCTGGTTGTGATTTACATGGGCAATTTAGAAAAAGATGCAGCGGCTGTTTCTTGTAGACACGGAAGAATGCGGCTTCAAGACCAACTGTGATAAGCTTCACCCATGCACTAATCAGGTCATTTCGCTCGTATCAATGGTCTGGGCGCCTCAGTTCAGATTGCTACGATCCACGGCTGTAAGAGCCCGTTTGGCTGTAAGAGCCTGATGAAATTTAATTTCCATGGCTGTCAGAGCCTGATCATTGCAACCACGACTTCAACCAGGACTAGTTGCTTGTGTTGGTGTTCTTATAGTTTGTAAGGTTCACCCATTGTACCAGTGCTCTTACAGCACTTTTTCCTGCAGTCCTACTTAAATGTCTTGTGCTCTTACAGCACCCTGGTAATCCACCCATTGTAGCAGTGCTCTTACAGCACTTTTTCCTGCAGTCTTACTTTATTTTTTTGTGCTTTTACAGCACCCTGGTACCATTTGTCTCAGTCCCACTTGCCTGCTCAGGTGACGCTGATGTTGGTCCTGCTGGGCTCATTACATGTGGACGCGTCGGTATGGAAAAAAAGGTGATGGGATATTTCATACTTCCACAGAATTTTCCGTGGCTCATGACCTATACAAGGCAAATCTTTCAGCATGTGCCCTATGCTTTGCATTCAGCACCTGAAGGACCCAGAGAAGGAAGGCGGCGATCAGGCCAAGAAGAAGGAAGACGAAAAGGATAAAGAGGAGAGTATGACGAGGGCAAGAAGAAGGAAGACGAAAAGGATAAAGAGGAGAAGTATGACGAGAAGAAGCCCAAAAAGAGGAAAAAAAAAGGATGAAAAGGACACCCGACAAAACTCAAAATGAAAAAATATCTCATGATATTTCACCATATTTCCACAGAAATAGTTCTTATATTCCACGACTCCTGGCCTTAGAAGAGGCAATTCCTTCAGCACATGTGCAGCATGTTTTGCCCCCAGCATCTGAAGGACAGCGGCAAAAAGAAGAAGGCAAAAGTGAAGGGCGCCGACTCCGACTGAGACAGGCAGTCGATTTTTTCAAGGCTCAAAAATCCCTGGTGCAGCAATCAACCAATTGTTCATTAATCTTAATTGTAAAACTTGGCAGTTTCAGTGTCAGGCAGGTATATGAGCATATCATATCGGTATCAGGGAACAGCCAGTACTGCACACAGAGGGATGGTGGAAACAAATGAATTGAAAAAAGTTAACTTCAAAAGGACTTACGGGCAGATAAGTAATGTCACTGTGTGTAAAAACTTTTCCACCATCTATTTGTGTTTGCAAACGAACCCTTCCACCAGCACAGGGAAGAGGAAAAAAAAGGAGTATCGAGAGTTCCTTGAAACCAAACCCTGATCACTGAGTGAGTGTCACTGCCCGAATTCAGATTTGTTTGGCTCAGGAATGACCGGTCCATGTCCCACATTTGACCATCAATGGTCTGGGTGCCTCAGTTCAAACTGCTTCGTGGCTGTTGATCTGAACTGCCGTTTGGCTGTAAGAGCCTCATGGTTTTGAATTGTTGATTACTGCTTCCATGGCATGTAAGAAATTGATTAACCACGACTTCAACCAGTTGGTGGGAATTATTTCTTTGGCTCTTGATCTGAACTTTGCTATTTGGCTGTAAGAGCCTGATGAACCACGATTCCAACCAGTTGGTGGAATGTTGTTGAATAAATCTACCCAAAATGCAGAAATTTTGACCAAACCCGTCAGTGCAGCACGCAGCTCCTGTCCTCCGTGCACTCTGCCATCAGCATGGCCGTCGCATTGGTCCGAAGGCACTGTCTCCTTTTCAAGTACCAGGATCAGCTGGCAGCTAACAGAGATGCGGAGTGGTTAATTTTGTGGGAAGACGCTACCGTGTCATTCTTCAGAAGAACACAGAACTTTGCCAAAATTCATTATTTATTTGTTTATTCGTATTTTTTTTGTTGTTTTTTGGCCCTGAAACCTGGAACTTGCTGTTAGTGCACAGCTAGCATGGCAAAACCTAGGCGGACGCGCCGGTTGCATCTGGAGACGCAAAGCGGCTGGCAGATAGAACGCGCCGGCGCTGGCTGGTCGATCCGGCTGTACAACTTTGCGTGCTGTCCTCACGCGAACGTCCGTCGCCACAACCTGCACTTCACCCCGACAGCCTGGCCAATGGCAGCTTGGACATCAATTAACTCACTGTTTTGGGGTTAGGAAAACCCACTGTTTTTAGATGATCAAAAACTCTCCCATCTAAAGCCAACGAGGTGTGGAGATCGGACCCACCAACGGAGCCTCGCCACCCACGGATGATTTTGTGGATGGCCGCCTGTTGGTGCAGTGAGCTCGAGCTGCAGAGTGCCTTGCGTCGGTTGTACTCGTAGGCTCGTAGGGGTAGGCTTAGGTGCTGATTGTTCGGGCCTGCCGTTAGTAAACTGAATCCCCTGGACATGATCGACTGACTGAATCCCTGGAAACTGAAGCATCTGAATTTTACGGAATTGGCAGCCTGAAGAATCGCATCACGGAATTTGGTGATCCAGAAATTGAATGGTGATCCTTTGTGAGAAAAAACGGAATTTGGTGATCCAGAAATTGAATGGTGATCCATCTGTGAGAAAAAAATGAGCTGAACAGCTTCATTGTGCCGATGTTACTTTCGCTTCAAAGAGGCTGTAAGAGCCTATGGAGCTGTAAGAGCTTGTAACCAACAGTTTTGGATTTTTGCTATTGAGGTCTTGTGGCAACACTCTCCCAGCGACGATAGGCTTCATTTTCACAGGCTCGATGCTTCAGCTGTAGACGGATTTCAAAGATTTCTTCAAACGTTTGTTTGAATTCAAAGTTTGGCCTGCTTGCAACTGATTCAGCTGGCCATACAAGTCGTAAGTACGCTTGTGAGAAATGCGAGCAAACGCCATGCCAGCGTCAGCTGGTACATTTTCTGATTTCAGCACATTTATCATGGTATGTCTGCCTGAATGGCTCCGTATTTTGTGGGAATCCATAGCCCTGAATGAATTTCGAACTTTCTGAAGCGCGTGGCAGACTACGTCCTTCTTGATATGAGATTTCCCAGTCCTGTCTGGGAAGAGATAGTTCTGCCCTGTAGGCCAGCGCCACGCGTCCTTGAAACTCACTGTGCCACGCACGCCACAGCGTCTCTTGCGTGCAACTGACTTCCCATTCTTCTTCAAACCACGAAGTGTAGGAAGGATTGCGTTCAGAAGCACTTTGTTGACCTGGCGCACAAAAATAGTTATGATACGAATGTATTATATTCGATGTAAATTGTATTTATATATATATATCATATTATATTATATTATACTATATTATATTATATACATGTGTATATATTTGTAAATTTGTATATGATATAAGGTCCTATTTCAATTTCACTAGCCGGCCTGTGGCTGACGTTTCAGAGCCGCGATGGTCACGGTTCTTCCAGTCCAATGGAAGTCGGAAGCTTTCAGTTTCAACACTTCAGTGATACGCGCGCACAAAGCGTGGGTCAAAGTGACAGCCACATAGAGCCACGTCGATGAATTTTTGAGAATATGGTTCCTCCAGTTGCTCCACATTTTTCCCGACAGCACCGCTGACCCAGCTTCATTTTCCTGCTCCTAGCCTTCTTCTTTCCCTTTTTCGCCATGTATATGGATTGGATGGATGTTCAGTGGTATTGCTGTTGACTTTGAGCCAAGCTATGGGAAGTCGCCTTTCATCATCCGAGCCTAAAAATGAAATACAACCCAGAAAGTGGTGCTTTGGTTCAATCAAACAGCTGTTTAAACCGTTTTTTTCATGGTTTTTGCAAGTGTTTTTCTGGGAAGGCGCCTACCGGGCAAAAGGCGTTGTACCAACAAGGGGTCAGGGAACCAGAAACCCCCACATGCATCAGGAAGAAAGGTGACTTCCCATCATTTTTTCATGGATAACCTATGTGAGGGAACCAGAGAGCCCCACGAACACTAGGAAGAAAGTTAGGTGACTTCCCATCATTTTTTCATAGGTACTGCATTGAACCTGAGCCCCTACTTAAAATTCAGAACGCGCATGCCACAGTGAAAAACTGAACTGTCAAGCAAACCCCTTTATCAAGAACGCTGGGGCCTCCAACCCACTTGTTGTCTCTGGCAGGCCGCCATGCAGAGTTGCCTGAACAGTGCGAAGAGCAAGAAAAAGGTCACAGAATCGTTGGCGAAGTGGTGACTCTTCAGGTGTATTTTGTCATATCCTGTGCTGTAAGAGCATAGTATGTTAACATGACATTTGGCGAGAGCTGCAGGTGCCCTGCCTGACAGCCCCCCACCAGCTACAGGGCTACAGGGTTGAATGCTGGAATGTATGTGAATGGTTGAATTTTGAAACATGAAAGAGTGAAAGGATGAATGCATGGATTGGTTGGATAGAATGGCTGACAGTTAGCGAGGGTGTTGCCAATCAATATTGCCCTTTTAAAATATTGTTTCCGTTCATGCCTTTGTTTTTCAACCCGGGACTCTGAACCAAGAAATGAAAAACATAGCATGGATGATTTTTTGCAACCTGGTTTGGGCAGGTGGCAGGCAAGGCTCTTACAGCCTTCGGCTCTTACAGCCTTTAGTAATAGGCTCTTACAGCCTCTTTTTTAGGCTCTTACAGCCTTTGGGGCTCTTACAGCCCATGAAGCTCTTACAGCTTCGAAGGCTCTTACAGCCAGGCTCTTACAGCCTTTGAAGCTCTTACAGCTCCTGGCACTCTTACAGTGCCTTTTTTGGTCCGTCCTGCCCCCCCCCACACAGGTTTGATTTGAAAATGTTTAGCATTCCCATGACTTAGCCAATACTTTCTTTTGAAAAAATGGCATGCCACATGTCATGTGTATGAGCACAGTGCCAAAATGTCAAAACCTCCAAACAAATTGAAAAATGTTTTCAAACATATTTTTGTCTTTGTTATCGATTTGCCAGATGCTTTAAAAAACACAAATCAACATGTTAATAGACATGCTAAAGTAGAAACCAATGTTGAGTTGCTT